CAGCAAACAACATTGCGTAGAAGGTGGGTACTGACAAAACACATTTGAAAGAAGTAGGCACTTTTCTGACTTATGTAGATCCAAAGTGCACAGGCTCTTTTGCTTTGCAAAATGATTTGACCAGGTTTGAATGCCAATTTCAAAAACGAAACTTCCATGAAAAAAAAAAAAAAATCATGTTTGCAGAAATGGCAGTTATCCCAGGAAAACTGGAAATCCCATTTGTGCACAGCCACCCTACAGTAATTGTGCAGCCATTTTCTTGGGACATAGTACTGCAACTGTATATGCCATCTACATCACACCCGCTGGCCATAAAGTACAATGGCTGAGTATATGAACTATGATTCCACTTGTGTCTGCAAAGGGGTCTGTGTGAGAGGAGAAGTCAATGGTACCCTATGAAGGAATTTCACTTTTTGTAACCTTTTTACAACACAGGAATATGGAAAAAAACAAACGTCTTCAAGATTTGTTGGTGTGAGCACCATGTTTGTCTGTTCAGTCTTCCTGCCTGCAAATAGATTGCACCTTCAAGCAAGAGCATACAATTCTGACAGACTACAGGCATGAAGACAGATCAAACACAGCCTGACAGAATAGGACAAGCATACGGCAGCAAGAATCGTCTACAATTATTTTTCCTTCTGAACCTTGCAAAATGGTTGGTTGCAGATTTTTTATTTTTTTTTCATACAAACTGTGTTACTATTCCTAAAAACTGTACAGAACAAAAAAGGCAAAAAGGTTGGTGGATAGAAGTAGTAAGAAGTGTGAGAGGACCTTGCAATACACAAATCTGAGATATTCTGACAGCTACTTCTGGTTAAAACACCCCATGTTTTCATTAAAGTGGTTTAAAGACTTTTTTTAAAAAAATATAAATAAAAAACATGTTATGCTTACCTGCTCTGCACAGTGCATCCTCAATCCTCTTCTAGGGCCCTCTCCAGCGCCGTCTGTTCCTCCTCTTCTGCATGGGCTCCCATAGCAAGCTGTGTGCTATGGAGGTGCAATCCTGAGCCAGACTGTGTGCATCTATAAACACACACAGCGCAGCTTGGCCTGCTCCAGTTCCTTCCTCACAGGATTTGACTAACAGCAGCAGGAGCGAATGGCTCCGGCTTCTTTCAAAGGCTGTGAGAGCCAGGAATGAACTGAGACCAGATGCAGCTGGGCACATCTGTCACTTTTGTACCTTAATGCAGGGAATGTACATCAGTCCCACACTGCTGTACAGTTGCTGCTTAATAATGCTACAGCATTCTCCAAATTGTGTCCATTTCTCTGAAGTGGCAGGTGGAACCCAAATGTTCCTGGTGTTCTGCGTATAGCAAAAATTCAACAGATTTCAAAGACAAGCGTCCTCATAAAATAGCAGTTAGGGGCCTTTGGAAGCAAGCCAATGCTGAGTGCTCATTCTAATTTATCAAGCATGCATCTATCCAAACTAGATGTTTAGCAGCTTCCTGCCCACAACCTGTTTAAAGCAGAAGTAAACTCAGCTTTGCAACTGTAAAATGAATATCTCTTAAGTGGTGCATGTTTACAAAGAAAGTGATTTTACCCACAGGTCAGCGTTATGTTTCGCAGCCAGCGAGGTCATCAGCGCATGCACGCTGCGCTTTGAAGGGACCACATACTCGGTATGCTGTCCCTTGAGAACGATGTGCCGTGATCATGGATCCCATGCACAAGCGTGGCGGTGACATCACAGCTCAGCCATTCAAAATGGCTAAAGCAGGTAAACCCAGAAGGAAGACTTGAAGATGGAAGCCCTGGCAGTGGTCCGGCACGCTGGAGGGCTTTGTTTAACAGGTAAGAGATCGCTCACACCATGGTGCAGAGATGTATGTTTTTATGTACACATTCTGCAAGGGAATGAAATAAATTGTGCTCTATGTGCCCTGTTCACACCACAATAGTATCACATGCACATTTTTTTCATTCAACCCACTGGCTGAACAGGAAGGAGGAAGAAAAAAAAAAAAAAGGGGGGGGGGGGGGGGGGTCCGCTTCTGGCTCCGACAATGCTCAGAAAGCTGCCCAGTCAAATATAAAGCCAACCAGCAAGGTTCCCAATCATGTGATCACTGTGAAAGCCAATCACAGTGAGTACATGGCTTTGTTTACAAAGCTGTTAAAGTGCCTCTCTGCTAGGCACAATAACAGCTGCACTGTGTCAACTACTCCTGTTAAAGTGGCACACAAGACAAAATTAGTCCTCAGAAAATTTTAACTATTAGGTGTAAATTGCAATTTTCAGATTTTGTCCAGTTATCAAAAGGCTAACAAGCAACGTGAAAGCAACCTATTTATTTTTAATGGGTTAGCAATGCGATTATTCTCCACATATGCATTGCTTGCTACTCTAACAGCACTGAACGTTGCTGTAGTCACAAAGCAAAGATCTGAACGGGCACTAAAACACTAAAATAAGATGTATATGCCCTTGAAAACACTTGAAAATTAGGTAGGCAAATAAAGTTCTAGTCAAGGTAACTGACACTGCAAAAAATTTTGTCTGGACATCACAAAACTGTTAGATAGGCAGTACACAAAAAAAAAAAAAAAAAAAATTGTTCAACTCCTTGGCACCAACAGGACGTAAATATGTGGCCTCTCTGCGGCTGGGCCATGATGCTGAGAAACTGCATATTTGTGGAACTGATGTAAACATGTGCCGAGAGCGCATACTCCCAGCACAGTTATGGGCACCTCATGGAAAGCTCCCAGTCACTACTTGCGATCGGGAACTGATTATGTGACTGTCAATCACAGCAGTCACATTGACCCTAAACCTCGCCCCTCTCCCCAGCATCAGAAACACCTTAAAGGGCCGGGAGGTGCTGGCGCCAAGAGGTCAAGGAAGCCCTTAAGGAAAAGTGCAGACAGACATAAGATATTTGCCTGATCCTGCCAAATACAGCAAAACCAGGAAATCATTGTATGTCTATAACCAGAAATGTCACTGCTTGAGCATTTTACCTCCCTGCATTATATGCCCAATTTAAGTGAATCTACGAGTACAATGACCATACAGAAAAACGACTGCTTGCTAACGGATAAACAAAAGACTAATAAAACTAGTGTCTACCTTAATGTGGAACTTTAACCCAAAAAAAAAAAAAAAGTGAACAGGCAGGATTTTTAATGCAGGAGACGAATACGATGTCTTTCCTGTATTAAATTTACTTACCTGCCCGTTCTCAGTGTACAATGAGCTGCACAGCTCAGCGTGGAATTTCAACAATGCCAAGATGACTGATCTCCCACGCACGCACAAGGGTGATGTCATCTCGGCCCAGCCAATGAAAAACGGACAGGAATCGATACCCGGAAGCCACCGGGCTGAAGATGTCGGTGGCCAGCAGGGAGCTCTGGGACATCGCGGCACTAGACAGAAGGTAAGTATAGATCTGCTTTAGGTTTAAACAATTAGCGTCATCTGTATACCCTTCTGTTCCACCAATCCCAATCTTCCCCACAGCCTACAGGACTTATTGTAACTGAACAGTTACATGACTAAACCAGGCTTGTAGTCATAATCCATTCTGCCAAATTCAAACCAATTTAGCACTATACTACAAAGCAGTGAAGCAGCATCACTGTTGCACCAATGTTATACCCCAAGTGTTTTTCCTACAGTATAGCATATGTCCATAAGTCCAGCACATTCTGTAAGACCATTTCACACAAATTTACAATCCTGTAAGGTAGACTGCCATAGGCGTCATTCACAAGGACACTGAGGCCCATACACTGTGAATGCACCATTTGATTATGTGGCTAGAGCCGCAAAGTGCTGCATGCAGGTAGCCCATGCAAGTCTACAGAAACAAAGCAGCTGCAAGAATGCAGGTGTGTGGACCCAAATGCAGACAGTGTACATCCAGGGCCACTCACCTGCTGTGTCCATGCAGCTGCTGCCTTCCCATAGACCACACGGGCTACATGCATGCAACATCTGGCAGCTCGAGCAACATAAAAAGCCAATTTATGGTGTGTGGGCCTTAGCACATGTGTGAACAAAGACAATATATTGAAATTGATTTTATTTTCTAATTTAATTAGACACTGCCGTGTCATTCACAGTTTTCATACCTTACTTACAACTGCAAAGAACTAAAGCTCTCAACACGAATCCACGCCTAGATGTTGTGGATATTTTTTACACATGGCTGCAAGTAGTGTTCAGAGCTCAGACTGATGGAGCTCGAATTTCCAGGAAACCCATTTATCCAAGGCACTTCTAATGACCCCATTTATCCCAGGAGATTGTTAACATTGCTTTTTGTTAACACCCAAGTACAGGTTTTTGCTTTTATTCTCTCTCTTCTAAAAATGGAAGACAAACAAAGGTGCTTCCAAAGACTATGTGGCCCTAGAGATTTGTCCTACCCTGTAATATGTAATATATAGCTCTGCAATGTTGGACCCTGGGGGCTGTAAAAAACACAGTAACTGCCTAAAGCAAGGGTAAAAATGGCTCCAATGCTTTTGAGACATCACATGTGACAGACAATAAGGTGAGGCCACAACTCAGTGGAGAACAGGTGCATTGAAAACAGATAATCTGTAATTAGTCAATATACTGTAACATTATTACATAACATGCTGAAGGAAATTCTTTCAAGTAGAGAAAAAGGCAGTTCATAATAAACAAAGATTTAAACAGTACATATATAAAATAATGCAAGATGTAAATGTAAACAACCCCAGTTTCAGAATAAAAGTTTTATAAAAACTGACACATGTAATACTTTATTGTAAAGAAACAATACAAAAGACCTATACAAACAGATCTTAAAGTCAAAACACAACAGAACATGACAGCATGTTCACACTAGTGACCGCTCATACAGACGGTACAAGGTCCTGTATAACAGGAAATCATTTTGCATTCAATATGAAATACAGTGCCAAGGGAAAATGTGCACTTTCACAAAGAGCTCATCATTACCAGTATGCAAAATACAGTGGCTTTTACAAATTCAGTTTCAACAGAACCACACAGAAATAGGAGCAGGTGTGTGCCTGCATGTTAAAGGCTGGAGTAAAGAAGTATAAGGAAAAGGGTGATTGTGGGTTTTACATACTGCTTTTGATGTTCCACTCACTGGCTCATTACGATTTCTAGAAGGCAAATGAGAAAAGAAAAAAGCAATTAGTGAAATACATTTGCACCAAATGCAAAGTAAAACAAAAAGTGAAAAAATTTATGATCAGGATCATACTGAACAATGTGTAGGAGCTGCAAGGACTAAAGACACCCAATGTGGCTATATCCACTCCCAGTAAGGCCCTTGAAATATATTTGTGAGTAAAAGGTAGAAAGGATGCAGGGCCTATCAAAATGAGAAATTACATTATATAATTAGATGCATACTTATTAATTTCTGCTATTTAAAAGCCCTAGATAAACATTAATAGGGTCTATATACAGAGAACTAATGGTTGAAGCCTGGTTCTAGCCATTTTAAGAAGTAGGAAAGGGTTAGAATTTGTCAGGTGGCAGGGGAAAGCACATTAAAATCTCTTAACTGGGGACAGAGGTTTTAAAACCGGTCCCCTCCTTTTCACGCTGAATCTGGTTTCTGACAGTTCAAGTATTTGCAACCAGTTGATTGTATAAACCGTAAAACTAAAAGCTATTCAGAGACAGTATCACAACCAGCTTAAAGCGATAATAAAGGTTCATTTTTTTTTTTCTTGTAAAATAACAAACATGTCTATACTTACCTGCTGTGTGCAGTGGTTTTGCACAGAGCAGCCCAGATCCTCTTATGTCCCCCCACTGGCTCTCCTTGCTGCATCTGTCAGGTTCCCCCATAGCAAGCAGCTATGTCCATTCAAACAGAGCTGCGGCTTGGCCCTGTCCCCTCTCTCATTGGCTGACTGGCTGTGATTGTCTGAGCCAATGAGGAGGCAGAGACCCAGGACAGCTTAGGATGTTGTGCCCATCACTGGATCTCAATGAGGCTCATGTAAGTATTGATGGGGCTGGGGGCACTGCTGCACACTGAAGTTTTTTTACCTTCATGCATAGACTGTATAAAAAGGTAAAAAAACCTTGAGCCTTGACAACCACTGTAAAGTGGAACTTTAGTCAGAAAATTAAGTCCTGCTAGAACACTTTAAGTTGTCCCCTTTTGCAGGTATTGCTTTGAAAAACATTACAAATATGTGCCTATACTGTTTAAATCCAGTAATGCACTGTCCCAGCCGGCTCTGCACATGCTCAGTTGCGCTCTATTTTTAGGTACTGTGCCGAAAATGTACAAGCTGATCTGCTGACAGCCTAAAGATTTACTGCTGCTCAGGATCTCTGGGCTCCAGCAAAATGGCAGCCTCCAGCAAGAAGAAACAGGAACAATGCTGGAGGCAATTTACAGCACACACACATTTTGGTAGCATAATTACTAATGTGGAATGTGTGTTCCTTGTTAAAGAAGATTGTTTTTATCAAGTTAAGGGTAGAGTTCCACTTTAAACTACATTTTAAACCTAACCTCTATTATACTTCCCCAAACTATCCAGTCTCATCTCTCCTGTCATCATAAAGCTGATATTTAGCTACCAAACCTATCTACCAGTCAGTAAGTTGTACCTAGCAGTTGACCACAGGTCAATAGGGGAATCCTCCTCCACCAGGAGGTAATGGGGTAATCCTCCACTTATCTATTGTACTCTGACAGCAAGGAGACTTCCCTGTTATCAGAATGCACTAATTTGCAGTCTACATAGATTGTGCAGGGAAAATCTGAAAAGGCAGTTTGTACAGCAGCCGTTTAGTAAAATCAACTTCCGTACAACAACAGTGCCCATACATGGAACGAAATCCAGATGGTTCCTGCTGAACTATTCAAATTTTGATCTATGGGCAGCTTAAGAAACACAAAGCTGGTATTATGATAAAAGATGACAGGAGTGGAGGATAGATTTAGACAATTCATTACATCAGCATTAATTGCTGATCAGAATTTATTTTCAACAGCAACCCAATACGGTTTCAATCTCCCAGAGCATTTTGAAGGATCAACATTGGAAAACTAGTCAATAAAAAGACACATCCCTAAGTTTTCTTATGCAACATACCGCTACATATATACTGCATGGTGAAAAATTACAACAGCACTTACACGACAAATGTTTTTGTTGTAGTTCTCACTCCACCAATAGGAATCCTCCTAACAATGACGGAAGAGTTCTTAGGAATAAGAGCAGCTTCGTCTGTGTACTCTATAGTGGTTAAAAAAAATGTAAATCATTAAGGCTAGAACAACTTTTGCATAAAACAAACTGCTACTATACACTGGTCACGTAAAATGGCTGTATTTATATGAAATGGAAAATAGTTTGACAACACTCATTAACCACTAGCCTACAGGGCACTTATACCCCCTTCCTGCCCAGGCCAATTCCCAGCTTTCAGCGCTGTCACACTTTGCATGACAATTGCGTGGTCATGCAACACTGTACCCATATGAAATTTTTATCATTTTATTGTAACAGATAGAGCTTTATTTTGGTGGTATTTAATCACCTCTGGGTTTATTTTTTTCTTAAACCAAAAACCACTCAAAATTTTGAAAAAAACAAAAACGTTTTTTCTTAGTTTTTGTTATAAAATTTTGTAAATAAGTGATTTTTCTCCTTCACTGATGTGCGCTAATGAGGCTGCACTGATAGGTGGCACTGACAGCCATCACTGATGGGCACTGAAAGGCAGCACTGACGAGCACTGATAGGCGGCATACTGACTGGCACTGATAGGTGACACTGAAAGGCAGCTCAGAGGGGCACTGATATGTGGCATTGATGTGCACTTGTAGGCACCGATATGTGGCATTGATAGGTGGCACTGATGGACACTGACAGCTGGCACTGCTGGGGCTACACAGATCATCAGGGCACACTGACCATTAGTGCCCTGATGATCAGTGCACATGTCCCCTCTGTGGGATGCCGATTACCAGCTCTCCTCTTGAGCTGTCAGCGTGACAGCTCGTGAGGAGAGAAATGCCAATAACCGGCATTTCCCTATTTACATGCAATCAACTGTGATTGGACACAGCTGATCACATGACTGAGCCTACATCTTCGGCTCTTTCCGTTGATCGGTAACCGCCGATTGCCGCGCTGCGTGCTCCCGGAGCCGTGCATGCGCAGTTAGAATGGGACGTCATATGACATCCTCCCAGAACGAGAGATCCGCCTTGTGCCCATCATTACACTATATGGCGGGTGGGAGACTGTTAAAAATCTTCCCATTACCAAAAACTAAAGTCCTTTAATGGAAGATTTTGATTTTCCTAAAATTTGGGAAGCAACATTGTACAACTCATCTCCTTCAGCTGCAGGCAAATTAAAGATCTGCAATGCTCTAGTTAGTTGGGGGGGGGGGGGGGGGGGGTACTACCTGTTCTTACACATACATTACACATATACCAGGACAAGAACAATGACAACGCACAGAAAACCGCATCGGGTAAGAGTTCTAGAGCACACAATGTTAATGACTATAACTATATATTAATGTAAAGGGACACAAGAAATGTTTTCACTTAAACAGATAGTAGTTATACTCCCCCGCTCTTAAAGCAGGCAATGCAATAAAATTAGGTCAGTTTCACATGAAAACTTAATGAAATCACTCAGGCAATTAAATGATGTAAAAGGTATGTGTAATCCTGCTGATGCAGTCATGTCATTGTGGATTCTGTAAGTACTGTGCCATTTGCTCTATTATCTTGACAATAAAAGTGGTTTGGATTTAAAAAAAAAAAAAAAGATGCAAAAAGGTAAAGAGGTCATAGTTAGAATGTATTTTCGTAACCTTAGGAGGTTTAGAAGGTACCAATTATACAGAACCCACTAGCACAAGCGATGAAACATACATTACTTTTTAATATCAGGACGAATCTTTGCAATAATGTAAACTGTACAATTCTTATGTTACGGCTAAAGGCAGCCAAAATCTTACAAACTAAGAGTATAATACAATAGAGGGGAATCTTCCACTAGTTCTGGTTATCTGTGGGTTCCCCTAGGGCAGGGATCTGCAACCTTTAAGACATAAAGAGCCACTTGGACCCGTTTCCGAGAGGGAAAAAAGACTGGGAGCCGCAAAACCATTGCAACATTTAAAACAAATCCGACACTGCATATATTGCAAAAAACGCTCTGGTCATGAAGGGGGTTTAAGGGCCCAGTAAGCAAAGGGTTAATCAGGGCCACAGTGTATCATCATAATCACAATCATAGCCTTAGGTCAGTGGTGGGCAACCTTTTTTTTCAACTGAGCCAAATCTCGCCAAAACCACGATTGAAATTTATTTGAGAGAAACATTTTTAAAACTGAAAATAAAACCCCCATATAGTAATTCATCCCCCATAGTAATTCATCCCCCCTATAGTAATTCATCCCCCCTATAGTAATTCATCCCCCATATAGTAATTCACCCCCCATATAGTAATTCACCCCCCACTATAGTAATTCACCCCCCACTATAGTAATTCATCCCCCCCTATAGTAATTCATCCCCCCCTATAGTAATTCATCCCCCATATAGTAATTCATCCCCCCTATAGTAATTCATCCCCCATATAGTGTCAATTCACTTACCTTTGCTCCGCGCGTTCCTCTCGCTGTGTTCCCGCGCCGTTCTGGTCTTTAGACTGGTCTGGACTGTGAGAGGAGAGGAGTTCGTCATGCTGCCCCGCCTACATTCTGGCTGCCCCGCCTACATCCTGACAGCCAATGTTTTCCAGCGGGCGCCCGGCACACAGAAGAGCTGCATTAAAAGAGCCGCGGCTTGCCGACCCTATTGCCTGTCACCTGGTGGGCAGTGTGCTCCGGAGCCGCAGGAAAGGTGAAAAAGAGCCGCATGCGGCTCCGGAGCCGCGGGTTGCCGACACCCGCCCTAGGGATTCCCTTAATTTGCAGGAATTTTCTCTCCACTTTCCTGTTTTGGCTATGGGACAGGAAGTGAAGGGAATTCTCCACAATGGGACACAGATGGCAAAAAATTAACTGACAGGGGTTATGACCTTCCCTTACTCCACCCCGCCAAAAAAAAAAAGTTTTGCCCATTGTTCCACCATAGATATAAAATTCACACAAAACCTAACAGATGGTTCCATCAGTTCATTTTGAAGAACAAAAGTCTAAATGTAACCGATATAAAGTTTGATTGACAAAACAACTCGAAAAACGTTGGATAGATTAGTTGGAAGTACGATAGTCTCTAGGAATGCATTGAGAAGCCCTAGGAAACTTTTTTCCAAAAGCGATTGGAGCCCATTCATGAAACTGTCTAATGAAACTTCAGTCTTACTTTAAAGTGTTACTAAACCCCGGACCCTGCCTCAACTATATCTGGTCTCCCCGGACCCTGCCTCCACTATATCTGGTCTCCCCGGACCCTGCCTCCACTATATCTGGTCTCCCCGGACCCTGCCTCCACTATATCTGGTCTCCCCGGACCCTGCCTCCACTATATCTGGTCTCCCCGGACCCTGCCTCCACTATATCTGGTCTCCCCGGACCCTGCCTCCACTATATCTGGTCTCCCCGGACCCTGCCTCCACTATATCTGGTCTCCCCGGACCCTGCCTCCACTATATCTGGTCTCCCCGGACCCTGCATTCACTATATCTGGTCTCCCCGGACCCTGCCTCCACTATATCTGGTCTCCCCGGACCCTGCCTCCACTATATCTGGTCTCCCCGGACCCTGCCTCCACTATATCTGGTCTCCCCGGACCCTGCCTCCACTATATCTGGTGTCCCACAGTACACAAAACATGGAAGTGCAATTATTTTAGTAAATAAAACTGCTAAATACCTTTTCTCATCAGCAGTTAGAGCAGTCTTGTGACTTCTATCAGTGTCCAGTCCAGCACTAGCTAAAGCTTGTAGAAGTTTTCTTTCTGCTCTAGGACGTTGCAAAACCCCTGACCTGTCTAGACAGTGCTGATTGGCCCTGTGCTAATCCCATGCACTCTCCACAAAAAAAAAACCCTCTAGTAATACACAAACTGGGCATGTGCAAATGCCTATGGTTCACTCTGTCATATCAGGAGATAAGAGTTGGTCCCTTGAGAAAGGGGAAGAACAGAGAAGACAGGATCAAACAGCCTTTTTTTACACAATGCAGAGGATTAACCCCTTAGGTTCCACAGTGAGTATAACCAGCATGCTTTACTGCATATACAGACTGATTTTACTGTTGTGGGTTTAGTAACACTAATGATTTCAATAAAACGAGCACAAACTAAGGTTTTGTGTTAAGGGCGAGGAAAAAAAATAAAATTGCGGCTGAGCAGCACTTTTGCCTTCTGCCAAACGCCCCCATTCCCACCTTAAGCTGCAATAGGCAGTGGACGGGGATGTTCACATGCCTGCCGCTGGTGCAATGCTTCACACCAGCTGTAAGGTTCACCCAACATGGGGGGCAAGCCCACTGAATGCTACACATTCAACTAAACGAGGAAGGGCAAAAACAGGCAGTGAGCAGGCACTGCATCACTTATTCAGCACGTCAGTATCCTTTGGAACGCAAACCAAACGGATCGGACTTCAAAAGGCAAGGGGATTAAGAAAAGTCTAACTCTACGGTAACGGAAAAGAGATTTAGGGTTGAAACAATCATAAGTAACAGTGTTCTAATGAAATAACAGACAGATGCTAGATGGGTACATATGAACTGTAGTTTTAGCAATAAAAAGTTTCTGAAAGTAAATCACACCTGAAGGATATAATAGAGGTCTATAGCAAAGTGCAGCTAACCCGCAGGTATGCTGCAGTGTGGGTAAACCGCAGCACCTCAGTGTGAAAGCAGCCTTATACTTTTATGCCCTGTGTATTGCTTCACACTGACCTGAAGATCTCTTCTTTCCTGCTGCTGGCCCCACTCTGGAGACTGCTAGCCGGGATAAGAGGTGGAGTGCAGTTGGTATCACTACACATGGGACAGGAGCCGGCACTACAGAGGAGGCATCAACTTGAGGCTTTTGCTCCCTGCTACAGCTCCAAATGTAGCATGCAGTGTGCTACACCCGCACTGCAGTGAAACCAAAGCACATCAGTGTGAAAGCAGCCTTGCAGGGTGCTCAGAACAGTAAGGGTTCATTTTCATTTCGGGGGTGGAATAACCCCATAGTTAACGCGTTTTTTTACCACCCCCACACTATAGTTGCAGTGGTCAGGGGTGTACACGTCGCAGCAGGAGTTATACACCCTGTCATGGTTGGTGGGTGCAGCACCTGCCAAACAGGACTCACTCAATGAGGCAGCTCTGAAAAGTGCCCTGCTACCTTGTACAGTACAGCAAAGAGGGGGGGTCAGAGCACGTAGCGTTGTGTTTTCACCATTTGCTTTCATCCCTTGGACCCTGCAGAAGCATGCAGTTGCAGGGCGCTTACTGAGTGGCCCCGTTTACATGAATGGGTTGCAATTAGCAGGCGGAAGCACCCAAAAGCAAAAGGGGGTTCTATTCCTGCTGCGGCACGTGTACACCTTTGGCTGATGCCACAGCAGCTAAAGGGGGTAGGAATTGGGAGTGGTAAAACCCTGACTCAACCAAAGTGATTTAACCCACCCCACCAAACAAGCCTCAAGGGTGCCTCTAAGGGCGCATAAGTGCAGTAGGCTCTTGCTGTTCCTCTGAAAAGTGATCTGAGTGTGTTTGATAGGTAATGAGGAGATATGTTGCCTCTTCGCAACCCGATTTAAACCCATGATTGGCAATTGTGACACGGTATTATGGAAATTAGAGGTTTAAATTGGTGTGAGGAAGCAACACTGTCCAGTGATCTTTGACTTCTCCCATGTTGTTTAGGGAGATCGCTAACCCTTTAAGGTTGCCTACCTCTGCTCTATGCTCTATATTGAGCATTTCATTTTAATTGCCCCTTTCACTGTTGCAGTTTTGAAAACAGCACTTTGCATGCTGGACCACTGAAAATTAACTGGTAGCGTCAGATAGTCAAAGTGAAAATAACACAAACTGCCCACTGAATGTAATTGTACATACTACATTCTTTCTTTGCAATTTATGAGATACCAAGATATAGGTAGAAATGCTTAAGCTACACTTGTCGTGTCAAATGCCCTTCACGCCACTGGCTGCAACACAAGCTATGCTGTTCGGCAGCCCATTCAAAATGAATGAGCTGCCAATGCATGAAAATTACATTGTTGTGTTGGGGTATAGACACACAAAGAAACTCTACAATGCAACACATGACTACAAGGTGTTGTGGGAACATGGATAAAACACAACTCATGTGTTGTACAGGACATGTAACAATGCTGTACTGTGTGTGTGTGTTTGTGTGGGGGGGGGGGGGGGGGGGGGGGAACATAACAAATCGATATCTCCAGAACTGGGGTCCATTCAACAATATTTGGGCGACAGATTAATATGTAAATGGACCCTTTAGCATAATGTAAAAAGTCATCATATATTGCATCGCAAACTGACCCCACTGTGTCCTTCAACAAAACAAAGAAAAATGTGAGAGTGTTTACTCACAGAAACCAGATGATTGTCTATCCTATATTGTAAGCTCCAAAGAGCAGGGCCCCCGATCCCCTCATGTTTTGCATTGTATTGGTATTGTTCTGTCACATGTTCTGTCCCCCTTTGTAATGTACAGCGCTGAGCGAACTACGAATACTGTATAATAATAATAATATTGCAAAAAGGTAACAGACTTAAAGTGGTTCTAAAGGCTCAAGGTTTTTTTTAACCTTCAAGCATTCTATGCGTGAATGTAAAAAACCTTCTCTGTGCAGCAGCCCCCTTCATACGCACCTGAGCACTCTCTTGATCTAGCAATACGCACTGGAGTCTCTGCTATCCTGGGACTCCCTCTACTCATTGGCTGAGACAGAAATAGCAGCCACTGGCTCCCACTGCTATCAATCACAGCCAGTGAGCCAATGAGAAGAGAGGGTACGGGGCCAAGCTGCTGCTCCATGTGTGAATGGAAACACGGAGCAGCAGGTGTCCCCTTAGCAAGCTGGTTGCTGTGAAGGCCCCCGACAGGAGGGAGGGGCCAGGAAAACTGATGAGGGACCCGATAAGAGGTGGATCCGGGCTGCTCTGTGTAAAACCACTGCACACAGCAGGTAAGTATAGACCAAAAAAAAAGCCCTTTAGAATCATTTTAATTCTGATTTTGTCTGTTTTGCACCAATCTGTGTAACTAAATAGAGCAGTAAGGAACATTTGTATGGATGTAGGCTTCAATACCAAGTCAGTTGTATGGATGTAGGCTTCAATACCAAGTCAGTTGTATGGATGTAGGCTTCAATACCAAGTCAGTTGTATGGATGTAGGCTTCAATACCAAGTCTACAACCAAAGCTGTAATGACTATTTGTAAGCTACCAGAGCTTCTGAAAATGCTAGACACAGAAGACATGCATTTCAGCCGGTCACCCCTAAACACACAGGGCCCTAAATGCCAGTACTACTCGGGACAGTGTTTGGCCCTGTTCAACCACAGGTTGCCTGCAGAGGGGCTGAATGCTGCCCCTCTTCCTTACTGGGTACACTGCAGCTGAATTGACCCCTAAATGTTAGGATTTACCATTTTTCTCTGTAACAATGATTACTACAGTGGCAACATAGTCGACACTCTCCCCCCCCCAGAAAAAAAAAAAAAAAATTTCTGCCAGTATATCAGGGATACGCAACCTTAAAAAGGTAGAGATCTACATGAACAACATGAGAAGTCAAAGCTCACCAGGCATTAGGTCACCTCCCCACACCCGATTTAAACCTCTAATTGCCATTCTACCGTGTCACAATCACGAGCATTGTACAGCAATCGTGGGTTTAAATCTAGTGGTGAAAAGGCAACATATCACCTCCTCACCACCTGTCAAACACACGTGGATCGCTTTTCAAAGGAGCAGCAGTGCCTGCTGCACATGTGAACGATCCCTTAGTTACATTCGGCATAGTCACCTGTAGGGGATGGAGGACAGGTACAACCTCTGACAAACATAGCTGTACTCACACAAGCAAAACAGGTTTATGATTAAGCCAATTTAGGCTTTAAGTCGTCATTTATGATCCACACTCATGAAATCTCACCGCTGCATGAATCATTCCAAATAACAAGAAACTGTCAACAGGAAAGAACAGATAAAAGTTTGGGTGTAACCACTTCCAAATTAAACAAATACTCAAACAAACACTAAAAAAAAAAAAAAAAATCAATTCAGAATTGAGCTAAATTAACTAGCGGTGCACCAAAATGAAAATTCTGGACCAAATGTGTGTGTGTGTGTGTATAACAAAAAAAAAAAAAAAAAAAGAAAAAAAAAAGGACAGCAAATAAAATATATAAAATTTTAAAACTTAGGTGTTTTTGCACAGAAGTCAATGGGATGTCATTTTTTTTTTACTGAAGTCAATGGGACGTAATATTTCACTGAAGTCAATGGGATGTAAATTTTTTTTTTTTTTACTGAAGTCAATCGGACGTAATATTTCACTGAAGTCAATGGGATGCAATTTTGCATCACTAACATTAACTACTTTGCCTACAGGTCCAATTCTCACATATATGTAAAAGCTTTTGATAGAAATTAACTTAGAACCCCCAAAGCATTACATTTTTTAAGCAGAGGTCCTAGAGAATAAATTGACGTTGCAATTTTTGTCACATGGTATTTGTACAACGGATTTTCAAATGCAATTTAAAAAAAAAAAAAAAAAATACACTTTACTGAATTTTAGTGAACACAATACCCAATTGTTTTGTAAAATATAAAAAGTCGATCTTACGCCGAGCAAGTAGATACTTAAAATATCATGCTTTAAAATTGTGTGGAACGGTGCCAAACTACGGTACCTAAAAATCTCAATAAGTTACACTTTAAAGTGTTTCTAAACCCAGGACCCTACAATCACTATCTGGTCTCCCACAGTACACATACAATAGAAATGCAATTATTTTAGTAAATATAAACTGCTAAATACCTTTTCTCATTAGCAGTATATAGCAGTCTTGTGACTTCTATCAGTGTCCAGCTGAGCACTGGTTAAAGCTTGTAGGAGTTTTCATTTTCCTCCGACTGTCCGATGAGGCCACATAACTCGACCTCGTCTGGACAGTGCTCACTGGCCCTGTGCTGATCACATGCATTCTCCCAATGAAAGAAAAAAAAAAAAGCTCCATAGTCATATGCACTAAACTGAGCATGCACAGAGTGACTCCTAGATCTCTGTACTATCAGATGGATTGGGGACATTAGAAGAGGAAGATCAGAGACGAAAGGATCAAACAGCCTTTTTACACAATGCAGAGGATTAACCCCTTAGGTTCCACAGTGAGTATAACAAGCATGCTTTCCTGCATATACAGACTGATTTTAGTAACACTTTAAAAGCCTTCACAAGTTTAGTTACACAGGAGGTCTGGTGCTACAATTATTGCCCTCGCTCCAATGTTTGCGACAATGCGATCACTGTTTACATATGTGTGCAGGACTTGCGTATGTGTTCACAACTGTACATGAGCACAGGCGCTTTAAATTTTTGTTTTTATTTTAATAAAACACTTTTTCCACTCTAGTTTTTTCTTTTGACCAACTTTATTGCTATCACAAGGGGAGATAAACATTCCTTGTGATAGCATTAGCCTTGACAGGTACTCTTTATGGAGAGATCGGAGGTATATTAACCACTTCCCGACCGGCCGTTGTATATAAACGGCCGGACGGTGGCACTGCAGGGTCGGGTGGCCGTCTATAAATGGCCTCCCTGCCCCCTGCTTGTGCGCGTTCCCTGGGAGCGCGCAGCACCGCGATCCGGTGCCCGCTGTGTCCTCCGGACACAGTGAAACACTGATCGTCGGGCGGGACCTCTGGACGAGGTCCCGATCATGTGATCACTGATTGGCCAATCAGTGATCACATGCAAAGTAGTAAGCAAGATGTCACTTGTGACATCATTGCTTACTATGTGTGAAATCTGTGAATGATCACAGAGGTCACATGGTACAAGGCTATTCACAAAAGCCTTGTACCATGTGACAAGCTGTGACCAATCACAGCTCACTCTGTATTTCTCAATGAGTGCAGGAATGCACACAGAGAGAAAGAGAAATGATTGCTTTTACATCCTATGAGTGTAAAATCAATCAGTGTAAAAAAAAAAAAAATCTTTATCACCCCTCACAAGTAGTACAGTGTCACCATGGTGACACTGTACTGCTAGGGTGACAGTATGTAAAAATAAATAAATAAAAATAAAAAATAATAATATAAAAAAATAAAATAAAATGTAAAAAAAAATGTTTAAAAATTATAATTTATGCTTATAAACTAATTTGGATTTTTTTTTTTTTTTTACTAAAAAGATAATGGAATAAATTTTGGCTAAGATTTATGATGAAATATTATTTATTTGCAAAATTTTATAAAAAAAAACACTTTTTTAAAAAATATTTGGACATTTCATTTACATAGCAAAAAAAATACAAATCCCAGTGGTGAATAAATACCACCAAAATAAAGCTTTATCTATCTAAAAAAAATGGTAAAAAATTAATTTGGGTACAGTGTTGCATGACCGCGCAATTGTCATTCAAAGTGTGATAGCGCTAAATGCTGAAAATTGCCCTGGTCAGGAAGGGGGTAAAAGTGTCCGGTCTGGAAGTGGTTAAGACCCCATATCACTGCTCTGGCCTGCAAAACATCTGATTACACCTAAATAGGTTTGAGGAGATGTGCGCACAAGCTGGTAAACAAAAGACCAAACACAGAAGTGGCGAAATCCTCACTGCTTCCGTTTTCTGATCTCACAGAGGGAGAAAGAACGTCCGTTCTTCACTCTGTTTAGTACACAGGATGCCACCAGTTGGAGCGGTCTCAAACTCCCCAATTGCATGGCAGAGCCAGGAAAAGTAGTAGCAGGAGCACCCCTTTACGCCACCCATAGAAGTGATTGAGTGGCTATATAGCCTGACACCCTTTGGTCATAGGGACAGAAGGTTGTGAAGCGAAAACAAAGAGCGCAGCAACCATGCGCATTACCTCAGTAAGCCAAAATGTATTAAATTACAGAATAATACTCACGAACACTGAAGTATATCATGCTCTGATGAAGAAGGTTCGTCCTTCGAAACTCGTCAGCTGTTCCGAGTGTCCACTCCTCAGATGGACTCGCGCAGGCTGCTTTTATCCTTAGTCCCTTTGAGGACTTACATGCATGATATACTTCAGTGTTCGTGAGTATTATTCTGTAATTATTAAATTTTGACTTACTGAGGTAGTGCGCAAGGTTGGTGCGCTGTTTGTTTTCGCTTCACAGTATTGGTCAGGCTTCCCCAGCCTTGTTTGGAGCTGCACAACTCCATCTGCACTGGTGGTAGAAACTTCCAAGTCCTGTCTCCATCTACCTACCCGTGTTGGGTCATAGAGCGAAAGAGAGTTTGTTTTCCTTCTATAGGGACAGAAGGAAAAATCTCCCCAGCGTGTATATACACAGCAGTAAACTCCTTTCCATGACAGATTCTACAATAAATATTGTAGAATAACGGTCCTAGTGTGGACACAATTTTTTTATATATTTTTATTTAAAACATTCTGTCACTGGATGACTGAAGCTTAGTTGGAGAACCTTCAGTCGCTGGCCTTAGCTCTATATAGCAATAAAATCATGACAGAGGAACTTTTTCCTAAATATGCCATGTTGGGAAGAATATATTTGAGAAAAAAAAAATGGAGTTGTAGTTGTCTAAACAGCATCACACACTCCAGATCTTATAAAAAGCCAAATAAGGCCAACATAGATATGTGATCAACACCCAAAACTAACAGACCATGCAAGTGCATTGTGTATGAATACCATAGCTGCAAGTCATAAGCAGGTCTTTTATTGAAAGCAATGATAGATCTGATCAAGGAAATCCAATTCATTTAAAGCCAACATTTAATTCAAAAAGGTTCTACATGGGTTTCCTCCAGGTACTCTGCTTTCCTCCCACACTCCAAAAGACATGCTGGAGGGTTAATTGGTTCCTAATTTGGCCCTTGTATGTGTGAATGTAAATTAGGGACCTTAGCTTGTACACCCCTTGAGGATTAGGGACTGATGTAAATGTACAACATATATGTAAAAAGCGCTGCGTAAATTGAAGGTGCTATATAAGTACCTGAAATAAATACATTTTAAGTTTAAATCCCAACCACGGCACCACCTGCCTGGGGTGTGTATGTTCTCCCTATGTCTGTGTGGGTTTCTTCTGAGTATTCTGGTTTCCTCCCACACTACAAAGACATGCTGGTAGGTGAATTGGATCCTGTATAAATTGTCCCTAGTATGTGTATGTATGAATGTGAGTTAGGGACCTTAGATTGTACACCCCTTGAGGGTTAGGGACTGATGTGAATGTAATATATATATATATATATATATATTTTGCTGCGTAAATTGACGTCGCTATAAAAATACCTGAAATAAATTAATTTTATGCAGTGTCCTGCTTGGGAGATATCATTTCACCTCCCTGGAGATGCAACAGGAAAAGTGAGTGGAATATCCATATTAGGCAGGTATCAAACGTGTCCCCATTGGAGGATTACTCTTTACCTTGTCTTGCTCCCATGACAACACTGAAAAACTGGATTTCCCTTTTAAGTCTCAGCAACAAAGATCGCCAGAGCACAGACAGGTAAATCTCCCGGTTAGCGACACAGACAGGACTTAAAACCTGACAAAGCATCTAACCCAGTCTAACCCATTCCTACTCTATATGAAAAAAACAAAAACCAAATCCCTGCCTTTACATATGCCAATATCTCTATACATGCATAGATATGCTTATACAATCAAATACCCATAAACTGAGAAGAAAATAAAAAGCCACCATCCAAAAACACCACCCAAACAATTTAATGATCTCAGTCAATTCTGAATGCCACGCTGATTGGCTGTAGTGGAATTTTGGCAATCCATTCTGATCAATCTAATATCTATGTGTAAGAGAACTGATCGCAGTTCAGCGGTCTAATCAAAAAGGTGATTTTTATTTTCTTAAAAAGGGGGGTCTTGGATAGAGTGATTAGGGTTTAAAACCTCTGGTTGGGTGTTGCCGTCTCTGCCCCCATTAAGGAGACTTGCCCTTTTTGTACTGGGGATAGTTTACACTGGGAATAAAAGTAAAGAAGAATCTACACTTCTGAGTGCCAGAACAGAAAGAGTAAATACGTCGGGAACATCTGTTCTGCTGATGTGGGAAGTCCCTCGCTTTGAAAAGATTGAGTCTCACTTCCTGCTTAACCAGGGCACACCATCTGACAGAGGTTGTAAAAATGTCTCTACTGTAACAAAAATGTAAAAACACTCTGGCTTTTGATATACATTTAGCCTGGGTTTACACTGTAGTGGGTGCGCGAATGTATGTAAATTATACTCGTTCCAGCTCGTTCAGGTGCCCACAGCAAAAAAGTGCATTTTCAGATATGTGAAACCGCAGGTTGCCAAAGCACCAAGCAGCCAAGTTTTAAAAGTCAGACTTTTTGCCAGCATTTCCTGCAGGTAGAGCAGCCCGTTCAAATTCAAATGGTCTGCTGTGCCTGTACAAACTGCCCCACCCACAACAATGTGAACCTGGCCTAAAAGGTGGCCTTGAACCCTCTGTTTTAAAGTATTCGCCTACAAAAAGGCAAACTTACAGCAGCAACAGTTTCAGAATATTTCCTCAATCTTATCTCTTATGCAGGCCATAGACGAATTGTCGGCCGATAAACGAAAAATCGGTCAGCCCCGTTGCTGATGCTGCCACCAATGTCCACGAAAAACGGCCTGGCCCCACTAACGGCGTGAATATCGGCCGATTTGTTGTGCTGCCGAAAATTCGGCCAATAAACAACCCGTCTATGGCCTGCATAACTCTCTACGGATCTACCCTGCTAGTTTGAACTTTTGGTCAGGGAACCATGCACTGTAGAATACATGACTGCTCACGTCACCAGTACATAATCCCACTGATAGCTCACTTCATGTGAGCCCATGTCCTAGGCCCACTCATGTCAGGTTTACATACAGTCAACTCTTCCCCTTTGCTTAAACAACGCATGCACACTGGAACGCACACATTTGTGATTGAAGCTCAGGTGTTGCAGCTAATTGGCACAGTAGCTCTTCAGCGGTTCATGTCAGGTTTACATTAGATTCAGGACAGGATCAGCTCAGGACTTTATCCTGTTCACACATATGTGGATTAGAAATGGTTCACATAGCCTGTAATCTGAACCTGAACCTAAAGGCACTGCTCAGAAATCATACGATTCTTTTTCAAACCGCACTGAACCTGCATCACCAGTGCACCATCACCATAGGAAGCAATGTTATTTCATGTGTCATGGGGATCGGATACGGTTCAAACCGCATCCAATCCGCATATATGTGAACCTGCACCAAGACAATAGAGCGACCCTCTAGACAAATGGAGAACAGAGAATCTTCTAAGGCAGAATGCAAACAAGTGACAGCTTGCAGGCAGAAAACAAAAATCAAAACGTGGTTAAAGTGGTTGTAAACCCTTACATATACCCAAGTGTAATGACTGGCCTCAGGTGATACACAAATTAAAGAAATCCTCCTACATAAATTGTACCTATCTGCAGTCTTTTCATCAGCCATACAAAGTACAGAATTTTGTGGGGGGGTGGAGAACTGATGTTACACTTTGCAGAGCTCAGTGAGGAGAGCTCTGAGAGCTAATTGGAGGGAAGAGAGACACCCCCTCCACACAGCACAGAGGAACTGAGCTGAGGCTGTCAATCTGCTGGAGGGGGACACCATTTTTCTTTTGGTGTCAGGAAAATGTGTCAGAAGTGATTCATGCTGACAGTACAGGAATTGAGACAAGTACACACTATAAATATGCTTTGTTCATATTTCACATCTGAAGTTTACAACCACTTTAAGCCAAGCAGTACATTGCTATTACAATTCACATTGAGGGTTTAACAATTGAGGGTTTTTTTTTTTTAAAAAGCAGAGCTCTGAAACCATTTAGAATTCTTTTCAATTCTCTAAACCTCTCTCCAAATTTACCAAATAAAGAACACCTTGTACTCATTGAAAAACACATTTTCTGAATGGAGAAGCTGCTAAGCGAGCAAACCCATATCACTGTACAAAAAGGGAAGAGCAGCACCTGCAAAAATCAAAGCTCGCTCTGCACGTTCGTACACAAGCAAGCTTGCTCGCTCTGTATATTCGTACATAACATAAGTAAGCTCACTCTGTATATCCGTACATAAGTAAGCTCACTCTGTATATCCGTACATAAGTTAGCTCACTCTGTATATCCGTACATAAGCTAGCTCACTCTGTATATCCGTACATAAGTAAGCTCACTCTGTATATTCGTACATAAGTAAGCTCACTCTGTATATCCGTACATAAGTTAGCTCACTCTGTATATCCGTACATAAGTAAGCTCACTCTGTATATTCGTACATAAGCTAGCTCACTCTGTATATCCGTACATAAGTAAGCTCACTCTGTATATCCGTACATAAGTAAGCTCACTCTGTATATTCGTACATAAGTAAGCTCACTCTGTATATCCGTACATAAGTAAGCTCACTCTGTATATTCGTACATAAGTAAGCTCACTCTGTATATCCGTACATAAGTAAGCTCACTCTGTATATCCGTACATAAGTAAGCTCACTCTGTATATCCGTACATAAGTAAGCTCACTCTGTATATCCGTACATAAGTAAGCTCACTCTGTATATTCGTACATAAGTAAGCTCACTCTGTATATTCTTACATAAGACTGATAGCATCCCCAGCAGTCCTGCACATATAAGGCACCAATCATCAGCGAGGACTAAGCTGGGCCAATCTTACCTATCAATATTTTTCCCTGGAGTTAAGCGATAAAAGCTGAACTCGGGTATATTTTTAACTGCAGTTACATTAGTCTAAACACAAGTATATAACATACATGAGGAACTGTTGTAGAAGTTGGCTCTCACTGTAGTAGTCAGCGCTACTACAGTGAACACCTGTGTCGGGTGCAGAGTGACTGCTCCGCCGCACAATGACCGAGGGCGGGTCGGGGGGGTGGTTGCTTACTCAGGACTGCCACCATTGACAAGATAATTTGTATATTTTCAGCGAGTACAAGGTGTTCTCTAATTGAACAAGGTGATGTCACAATCTGAGCTTGTCCAATTCAGAGAATACCTCAGCCCTGGCTCACACCGGTGTGACTTGTCATACTATTTGGAAGTGTCAGATCACATGACGAGTCACACTCGCCAGCAATGGAACCGCTCGAATTGTCGGAGTTGCTGCGATTTTGAAAACAGTTCCTGCACTATTTCTGCCGATTTCAGGTGTGACTTGATTTGATATCTGTGTATGAAGTCACACCTGAAATCGCACTGGTCTTCTGCACTGAAATCGCACTGCTGATTTCAATGTGTGAACCAGGGTTTATAGTCATTTTAAAACACACAAAACATTCTGTGAATAGCAGGGATGCCAAGTGACCCCCTGTGGTTACTATGCAGTCGGGCAAGGGACCTAGAAGACTGCAGCTATAGAAGGCATTTTTTTTTTTTTTTTCAGTTATTGCAAAGCGATCTCTGATTGGATGATATGGAGATGGTGACAACCCCACCCTGCCTCTCCTTCTCATCCAATCAGAGAATACCTTGCATTCCGTGATAAAAAATGAAAAGCCTTCACCATACCGGGCAAGCAATCCCTGACCACTACTCTGCTTCCCTGCAAACATGAGATATGCATACCTATACGACCCCCAAGCTGGTACCTATGCAAATAAAAATCACTGCAAAGTGCAAACAACAAAACCACATTCATCATCAAATATTTTACAAACAACAACAACCAAAACTACTTGTAGCCAAATCGATCACACCTATGGCCAACCTTTACATCCAATTTTTACCTGATGGGCACCATAAAGTGGTTGTAAACCATCACCTTGCAACACAACCCGTTCAGGTTAAAAACAGAAAAGAAAGGCAAAAAAAGTGTATGGATTTAAAAAAGATTAAAAAAAAAAAACCACTTTTCCATTTTCTATAAAGCGATCACATACCCTCTGCTCTCAGCCACATAACAGCTAAGGGAGGAGAAACAGCAGCACACCAATCTGCGCAGTGAATGGCTGTGCAAAGTGGGCACGTCTGATCATTGGAGGTGAGCAGGCTGTTTTCCCAGCACAGCTATAGAACTGACCACACCGTGCTCTCTCGCCTAGTGCGGTCAGTTTTTACTAGGAAACCAGAGGGCCCGGCAGGAACACCCAGGGATTCACACAAAGGAAGCAAAACTGACCACGCTGCGCTCTCACGCCTAGTGTGGTCAGTTTTTACTAGGAAAGCAGAGGGCCCGGCAGGAACACCCGGGAATTCACACAAAGAAAGCAGGATAGTTTTTCATACAAGCACATGGTACGTATCAGGAATAGGAAATGTCGGGTTGACATTCTTACCCCCCCAACAATCCGTGTTAAACGATTTACCTTCTTACATCTATGCGTTGGAAACCCTCACCTTGCAAAACAACCCGTTCATTTTAAAACAGAAAAGACAAAACGTGTATGGATTTTATAAAAAAATAGAAACAAAAAAGCCACACTTTTCCCATTTTCTATAAAGCGATCACAGACCCTCTGCTCTCCGCCACATAACAGCGAAGGGAGGAGAAACAGCAGCACACCGATCTTCCCAGTGAATGGCTGTGCAAAGTGGGCATGTCAGCAGACGACTGATCATTGGAGGTCAGCAGGCTGTTTTCCCAGCACAGCTATAGAACTGACCACGCTACGCTCTCACGCACAGTGTGGTCAGTTTTTACTAGGAAAGCAGAGGGCCCGGCAGGAACACCCGGGGATTCACACAAAGGAAGCAGGATAGTTTTTCGTACAAGCACATGGTACAGCAGGCACATAATAGGAAATGTTGGGTTGACATTCTTACAACCCCCAACAATCTGTGCCAAACGATTTACCTTCCTGTGTCAGTGTGTTGGAAATCCTCACCTTGCAAAACAACCCGTTCTTTTTAAAACAGAAAAGGCAAAACTTGTATGGAAAAAAAAAACAAACAAAAAAAAAAAAACCACACACCTTTCCATTTCCTATAAAGCGATCATATGCCCACTGTTCTCAGCCGCATAACAGCGAAGGGAGGAGAAACAGCAGCACACCCGATCCTCCAGGGAATGGCTGTGCAAAGAGGGCAAGTCAGCAGACGTCTGATCATTGGAGGCGAGCAGGCTGTTTTCCCAGCACAGCTATAGAACTGACCACACCATACTCTCAAGTCTAGTGTGGTCAGTTTTTACTAGGAAAGCAGAGGGCCCAGCAGGAACACCCGGGGATTCACACAAAGGAAGAAGAACTGCCCACGCTGCGCTCTCACGTCTAGTATAGTCAGTTTTTAACTAGGAAAGCAGGAGGAACACCCAGGGATTCACACAAAGGAAGCAGAACTGACCACGCTGCTCTCTCACTCCTAGTGTGGTCAGTTTTCACTAGGAAAGCAGAGGGCCCTGCAGGAACACCCGGGGATTCACACAAAGGAAGCAGAACTGACCACGCTGCGCTCTCACGCCTAGTATGGTCAGTTTTTACTAGGAAAGCAGCAGGAACACCCGGGGTTTCATACAAAGAAAGCAGGAAGGTTTTTCATACAAGCACATGGTACGTATCAGGAAATGTTGGGTTGACATTCTTACAACCCCCCCAACAACCCGTGTCGGACGATTTACCTTCTTGCGTCTGTGCGTTGGTGATCTGCAGGTCGCAGTCGGCCGCCTTCAGCCTCTCCCGCCCCATGATCTGCTTCTTGAGGTCGGCCAGGGAGATGTGCAGCCCATCGAAGGTGACGGTGTCGTAGTTGAGCTTGGAGGAAAACTTATAATGCACGCAGGACATGTTAACAATTGTCAGGTATTGGCAGAGCTAGGGAGAGAAGACCTCACACAGGCAGCACGCACGGCTCGCACACACTCACACACACAGACAGGGGGCGCTCAGGCACACAGTCCCAGGGGGTGAAGGAGGGGGTGGTGGTGGGAAATGCTGAGGACACAACACCAGGAGCCATGGGGCGTCCTCCCTCCCACACAGTCCGTCCGCAACAGTCCCAATGAGTCCCCACACACAGAGCTCCGCTGAGGACAGTCCCTCCGCGTACAGTCCGCTCGTTGTCGGCTCAGTCCGTAGTCTATAGCACCCCAAAGCAGTCCTCACGGGTCCCCGCTCAGTCCGTAATGTCCTCCAGGCGCCGGCGTCCTCGCTTGTCACCACCTCAGACAATGGCGGGCTGCGGCCTAGTCTCCCAGGTCCGGAGGCTCCCGCCCCCTCAGCGCTTGAGGTAAACCAGTCCCCTCCGTCCTTCCACGGATGCCAAAGCCAACGAGAAGAAGAACCACACCGGGTCCGCGGCCGCTCCCCGCCGCCTTCTTTCTTCTCCACAAACCGAACAGCCAACACACGGTCGTCGTCCGCTCTCGTCTCCTCTTCACGGGGCTTCCAGTCAGATCTGCGAGGGCCACGTATTGCGTCAACACGCACTCACGAGGCACACGCACGGGGCGGAGATGGTTGGAGGGGCGGTACGGTGCGAACACGTGGGAAGGAAGAGGCGGTACGCCGTGCATGCGAAAGGAGGATGCAACCAGTAGGGGCCATGTTGAGAGTGGGAAAAGGGGATGTTTGCCAATTTGCCCTACACATTGATATAACGGACCTACCTATGGCCTTACTGGTTTCGAAATATCTCATTCTCTGCAGAACAATAGGGAGAACCTCCCTTCACACCTGTTTCAGATATTTAATGCCCCCCTCCACAATCTTTATTGAGCATGCTCAGAGAATGAACAAAGACCAATAACCAGAAACAAGCAGATAATGACCTTGTATTGTGTGCTACTGATGAAGTATGGAAGAGGATGTAAGGGGGCACGCTGGAGGCACTAAGTACCCTTTACATCCTTCAGAGTTCCCCCTTACATCCCCCAAGAGTTCTCCCTAGTGTCTCTAGAGCGCCCCTTCACACCCTCCAGAGTTCCCCCGTACATCCCCCCAAGAGTTCTCCCTAGTGTCTCTAGAGTGCCCCCTTACATCCCCCAAGAGTTCTCCCTAGTGTCCCTAGAGTGGCCCTTCACACACTCCAGAGTGCCTCCTTACATCCTCCAAGAGTTTTCCCAAGTGCCTCCCGATTTACCCCTTAAATCCTCCAAGGTGTCCCCCTAGTGTCTCCAGAGTACCATTTCACACCCTCCAGAGTGCCCCCTTACATCCTCCAAGAGTTCTTTCTAGTGTCTCTAGAGTGCCCCCTTACATCCCCCAAGAGTTATCTCTAGTGTCTCTAGAGTGCCCCTTCACACCCTCCAGAGTGCCCCCTTACATCCCCCAAGAGTTCTCCCTAGCGTCTCCAGAGTGCCTCCTTACATCCTCCAAGAATTTTCCCAAGTGTCTTTAGAGTGCCCCCTTAAATCCTTTCAGAGCTCTCCCTAGTGTCTTCCTTTTACATCCTCCAGAGTGCCCCATTCCATCCTCCAAGATTTCTCTCTAGTGTCTCTAGAGTGCCCCCTTCGTGACTCAAGATTGCCCCTTACATCCTCCAAGGTGTTCCCCTAGTGTCTCCAGAGTTCTTCTTCACACTCTCCAGAGTGCCCCCTTACATCCTCCAAGGTTTCTCCCTAGTGTCTCCAGAGTGCCCCCTTACATCCTCGAAGAGTTTTCCCAAGTGTCTCCAGAGTGTCCCCTTAAATCCTCCAAGGTGTCCCCCTAGTGTCTCCAGAGTGCCCTTTCACATTCTCCAGAGTGCCCCCTTACATCCTCCAAGAGTTTTCCCAAGTGTCTCCCAAGTGCACCCTTAAATCCTCTAAGGTGTCCCCCTAGTGTTTCCAGAGTGCCCGCTGACATCCTCCATGATTTCTCCCTAGTGTCTTCAGATTGGTCCTTTACATCCTCCAGAGTGCACCCTTACATCCTCCATGATTTATCCCTTGGGTCTCCAGATTGGTCCTTTACATCCTCCAGAGTGCACCCTTACATCCTCCATGATTTATCCCTTGTGTCTCCAGATTGGTCCTTTACATCCTCCAGAGTGCCCCCTTACATCCTCCAAGGTGTCCTAGTGTCTTCAGAGTGCCCCCTTAGGATCCTTTCACACAGGTGTTCCGTTTTTTTCATCAGTTCCGTCACATTTTTTCAAAGAAAAACCAGATCAGTTTTTATATCAGTTTTTTTACATCGACTACCAATGCAAAAACGGACCATTTGTCCATTTACATTGGTGTTTCTCCATTCCATTTTTTAAGGAACAAAAATAGAGCTTTCTTCTGTTTCAAAGAACAGATGTCAATGGACGCTCATCTACTTACAACTGCTTGCCCATAGAGATGCATTGATGTTGGTTTTTCATGCATCAAAGGATGGATGAAAAACGGTCAAATGGAACGCTAGTGTGAAAGGGGCCTAAGTGACTCCAGAGTGCCTCCTTAGTACAGTAGTACTAAGGGGACCTCTGGAGGATGTAACAGAGCACTCTGGTGGAGAGAAAGTAAGGCGGCAGTCTGGTAGAGAATTTAGGGGGGTACTCTGAAGGATCTAAGAGGGAATTCTGGGGGTACTCTGAAAGGTACTAGGTTAGTACCTCTAGAATGCCCCTTTTCATACTTTAAAGTGGCCCCTTAGTACTACCAAGAGGGCACTCTGGGGGATGTAGGAGCACACACTGGAGGATGTATGGGACATTTTGGAGGTACTAAGGCGCACTCCAGAGGATGTAAGGGGGCACTTTGAAGACATTGATATAGGGGGGGGCAGTCTGTCTGATTTATAGAGTGAATGCTGGGCACTTTGATGTGAATGTGGTGCTCATCGTGCCTGCAGCACTCTATCTGTTGGTTTGTTTGTTACACACTCTTGACCCTTCACTCTATACATTATGCTGTACAGAGACATGACCAATGTGTTCATTGCATCAACAGTTGCCAGTTTAAATTAAGCTCCTCTTTAAAGTAGAACTATAGAATTTTTCTTTCTTTTTTTTATAGATAGAGTAAGGAAGGGTTATAACCCCGGTCAGTTTTTTTTTGCCATCTGTGTCCCATTGTGGAGATTTTGCTTCACTTCCTCTCCCTTAGCCAAACAGAAAGGGAGAGGAATTCCTTGCAAATGAAGGGAATTCCTTCAGGACCATCATGTCACCAGAAATAATGTCCTTATTGGAAGATTTTCCTTCCATTACCTTTCTGGGGACAACCCAAAATTTGGGATTTTCTTTTAGTTTAATTTTCAATAACAGTGATAAACGGGACAAATTCGAGAGGGAGAATCTCCTTAACAGAGGCACATACAGCAATAAAAACCTAATAGGTGTTCTAATCTCTCTACACTCTGTCCCAAAATTAAAAACGTTTTGCCTATAGTTGTACGGACAAACGGAACGCTGGTGTGAAAGGGGCCTAAGTGACTACAGAGTGCCTCCTTAGTACAGTAGTACGAAGGGGCACTCTGGAAGATGTTACCGGCGCCCTGGTGGAGAAAGTAAGGGGGCACTCTGGTGGAGAATTTAGGAGGGCACTCTGAGAGCCAAAAATGTAAGTGTTTTGTTTTTGCCGCATTTTATTTATTTTTTGTTAAAAGTATGACAATTCTGTTTATGTAGTGCAACTTTACACTCTCTGGCACTCAAATACCATCAAAATTGCATAAAAGTAGTGCAGGAACCTTTATGTGACCAAAGTCATATGTTAGGGTTAGTATTAAAGCAATGCATACTAGCACATTATGCCTTTGCCTTGCAGGAGAATTTTTTTTCTTCTTTTGGTTAGAATTTACTACCACTGTAAGGGTTAGCGTAAGACTAACCCTAATTATTACCGCTAACCCTAACAATTATCCCTAACACTAGCCATTAACCTTAACCCCAATATGCAAGTTTGGTCACATAAAGGTTCCTGTACTACTTTGATGTGACTTTGATGCTACTTGAGTGCCAGAGAGTGTAAAATTGCATCAAAGTCACACTACATGAACAGAACTTTCATACTTTTCTATTAGCAAAAAAAAACCCCACATACCAGGGTGGATAAAAATCAATGATTTTTTTTAAAAAATCAAAACAATCAGATTTTTTTGATTTAAATCGATTTTTTTTTTTTTTTATTTAAATCGGATTTTTTTGAATAAAATGCTTTTTGAGGAAAATATATTACCATTCAAAGGTTATTCCATCATGAAATAAAGATTAGTTTTTTAATTATGTAGAATAAGGCTGTATATGTTTAATTGTTTGGGTAAATAAATTCCATGAATCCATTCACAATGTCATGCTCTTCCAGAGGTTTTTGTAAGATTATTGGGCAGTTTCTCTGCCTACAAGATATTATCACAGATGATTGGTTTACTTTTGCAGTTCTCAAAACTGAATTTGACTCAGTGGAGATCACATGCCTCTTCTTCACAGCAAAAATGTTATAACATGAACAGAGTTAAGAAAAAGACCTTAATCCTAACTTCTACAAACCTATGAATACAGAATCAACCCCTTCAGTGCTAAGTTTCAAGAAGTTCAGTGAATAGAATAGAAACAATATTTTTCTGATTGTTTGGAGTGGAATAGATCTGCACAAGAAGAAAGTGAAACTAAGTGTGAGGAGGAAGGGGCTGACAGTCTAAGTTTCTTAAATATATATATTTTGTTTAGCCAAATTAGTTACCAAACATGGATGTTTAAGCAAATCACATATGCTGGAATGTTATTGTTTCAGTTGAATAAATCTATTTAAATTGTTATTATTAAGGTAATGATTATTTTTCTCCTTCCTAAGTACAACAGAAAAGTTGTCCAAATATGAATGATTAATCTATTAAACTGGGGATAAAAAAACTAATCTGAAAAGTTATTCTAAAAATCT